TTACGAAGAAATCTATGCCTCGCATTCTCTGCAACAATTGTGTTTTACTTCAAGTAATACGATTATTACAAAAGCTGGCTTTGGGAGACGAACTAATAAGGTCAGGGGAGAGGTGTACACTAATAGAACAGTCACATTTATATATATGAAGAGACTTTACAGATAATATGTGACAGAAAGTGACATTGAAAATCAAAGAAAATTGGTATAGAGTGAGATTTTTCAAAATGGCATTTGGAAATTGCGCTCTGTTTTTCTTTTGGTCTTTAATTATTGCGGTGAATGGAGCGAATTTTCCGTCTGGATGTTCATACCATGATGAAGTGGACTCGGTTCATCTCTACAAATGTACATATGGATCCGTCACCTTACCTCTAACATACAGTACGTTCAGCGACCCCTTACCACAATGGATTCAAATTACCAAAATCAACGGCAACATGAATGCAGGATCCTTTACTGGGTTTGGATCCTATGACACGACAAAACTGAGCCACGACAAAAACCCAACACTTCAGCTCTTCTGCACAACAGGAGGTTCGTTAAATTTACAATCTACATCTTTTGATACCTTAGGATATATCCAAGAAGTTGAAATTTCAAACTGTAATGTCAACCTTCCCGCCAATGTCTTCTCGCCGTTTGGAACTCTGAATAGATTGACAATAAGCGGAGGGACCTTAACTCTGAATGCCGCTACCTTTGAGGGACTGACGATAGCACCAATTGACAAGTATGCCGACCCCGCAGGAGAACTTACAATCAAAGATTTGACCCTAAGTGGAGGGTTTCCAACAAACGTTTTTACACCCATCAATCAAACAAGATCCATCCGAGTAGAAAATGTTGGACTGACATTCATTAATGAAACAGTTTTCTCTGCCAACACTGGTTTACACTCGCTCTCTCTGAAGGGCAATCCAATAGTCGATACCATCCCAACTACCTTCTTCAATGGACTTGATGGTTTGGTTCTTTTTGACCAGACTTCTATCCAGTGGACATGTACGTGCGATAACGTGTGGTGGTGGCCGAAAGCAAGTCTGAAAAATATCACGATCCAGGGTCCTGCCATCTGCACCGGCCCTGCTGACGTTGCTGGTGAGTAACTTTCTTTGTTGAGATAGAAATGTTTATTTAGGTATCTTGTCTCTTGCAATCCTGCTCTTGCTGCTTTTACATAACATTAAGCCTTTTTCTAGTAAATAAAATCTTTATCAATGTTTATTTCAGGTACTCTTGTCGGGAAATATTATGATCAGAACTGCGTGACAACCAGTATATGTGGAGACACCATGGGTAAAATAGTAGATACCTTAAATAAGATTTGTTGTTGACAATAAAAACAGAAAATTGTAAATCATCTTTAGAAAAAAAATCAAACACTGCTATACTAAACTAAACGTATGACAAATTTCTTCTTTCAAGACATCTTCCAGTCCATTTTTCATAGACTACATTTCCTTTTCTTCCAGGTGTGGCTATAGGGAACACTTGCCTCCCTCTAGGACATCTGGTCGGATTCGGTCTTATATTTGCTATGCTAATCATATGTATCGTATCACTTGCTTGTATCTTACACATGAGGAAAAATGCTCTGGCTGGCCCAGTCAAAAAGACAAGAAAAGGACCCCCACCACCAGGAGCCAAAAACAAAAAGGGTGGGGCTGGCGGCGGTGGTGCTGGTGAAAAGAAACAAAGAAGAGGGAGCGGATGGGTCTGAAATGAAACGATGCTCAAGCAACCAAAAATGAACTAATATCTATTTAACAAAAGACTTCAACCGACCATTATATAAATAAAATGATGATTGTACCATAAATTCCATGCCGTTTTGTATAAAAATGTCGTACATACTGTTAAATCCACCCGGTTGCCTAAATTGTTATTCACTGTAGTAAGTGTACTCTTTAACATCCAGCCAAATATTTATTAAATTGTTTTCCTTTGACTTTTTAATTTTTATAAGTTTTTGTTTAAGTTTTTTTTTATTACACGTAATTCCTACACACAGGATCAATCAGACTGGACCAAGTTTGAAGAACTTTTTGTCGTTTTCCGCGATTTGAATTGATCTATTAAGTTTACAATGTACATGTATAAACATTGCTAATTTTTTGCTTAACATTCATTTGCTGATCCTATGTGCTCTCATCCAGGAATAAAAAAAAATACATGAGCTATAAAAAGTGTGTTTAATGATAATATATACATTTAGGTGTTTTTAAGAACTTGAACGGGGTTCATTTATTTTAAAGAAAAGGAAACCTTTTAATAGTGGAAGAATTATTTTCTTTCGAAAAATTGGCAAACTAGTTTGAAGAAAAGCATACTATTCAAACACGTTGATTTTGAGGATATCTCATAGATGTTTTGTACATTTAAGATTTGGGCTTTGAGATGTCAGGTGACACATCTGTTTCAAGTTTTGATTTAATTAGAAATTGAAATATATGGAGATAACGAACAGTATTCAAGCTCAAATGTCCTTTAAACAGTACAAAGTTTGGAGCAGAGCAAACACGGACCTTAGGGGTGGCACATGCATCAGGTATCAAATTTCTGTATAGAAAACAAAATTGTCACACTAGCCATCTTCGATTTTCGAGGGTGCATCGGTTCATACTTTATTTATGTCAAAAATCTAGATCTACTCTTATCAGCCCGTTTCCGATGATATATAGCCTCAGAAATGATTTAATAACTCCCTTCTATCGTTTGTCGATTTATGATGATTGACAAAGAACAAGGTACGGTTTCCATAGAAATCTTGCCCCGTGATTTTCTTAAAAATGAAAGTGGTGTAAAAGATGAAAACTCATGCTTTTTGAATCATTGAAATTCCATGCTGAAATATCATACAAATCATTTTTCTCACATGTGCTTCTAAATGCTAATTGTGACGTCAAATCATGTGCATTTTCACGTATTTTCTTAAAAAGTTGCAGAAGACACTCGGAATTTTCATTTAGACAATATTGTTGTCCACAGGCATCGTCCACAAAGATTTTGAGATATGTGATTTTTTTATTGACTTTTGCACAACATATCAAAAAATTAAAAAGGGCGACGACTGTGGACACTATTTTCTAAAGGAAAATTACCCTTGCAAGGGGCCATTTTAAGGCTTTTTCCGTTTAAAATAGAGAAATGTGTCACATTAATGACGTCATATTTGAAGAATGGTAATCTTTCATGCCATATTCTTTCTTGATTTATCATAGTCATGTACTTAGCTAATATTTGAGCCAGTTTCAAAACTTTTTGATGACATTAAAAATTTAGGGCTTCTTTCTGATTTAATATTTCATTACACAAGTGTTTCCTAGTATACCGGTAGATAAAGGGGCATACACACAAACATTACCATATTGTTTATAATTTCAAATTTCTCTGCCAGTATTTAGAAAATAAAACATTATATATTTAAGTGAAAGAGTTTTAAAAGACCATATCTTTCTTTCCTCATCACAATTATACAACTTTAAATAATAATGGTAAATTGTGTTCGAAAACTATCAGGGACTTTTTTTCTGGCGGAATGGTGGCGTATGAAAATATCCTCTTTTCTGCTTCTCAAAACTATTATAGAACTACGGATTTAATTAGTAATGATTTTTACACAATCAAAGACTAGAATAATTTTTCAAATGTTAGCTAACTTGATAATAAGGAGCTAAAGTTTTAAAATATATCAAATAAATATGAATTTCCAAACAATTTACAATTATGTTAGCTTTTAAAAGCTTCAACTTTAAGTACAGATAGGTGCAAAAAAGCCATAGAAAGTGTTTTTACTCTCTTACTAAACGGTCAAAACTTTTTGTTTTTTGTATCATTTTGTATCTCCATATGACTGCTTTACCATATGTGAAAATAAGAAAAATTTAAATATAGGGCGCATATAAAAATAACTTAAATATCTAAACAAAAAAATTAAGAAAAACAGAGGAAATTCGGATTAGCGAAAATCCATTTTTTTAAACTATTTGTGTCAATTTGGTAATATCATCTTATAGATCCTATATGGAAATATCTTTATATGCAAAAAGGAAACCGTTTAATCTTTTAGAATAGAAGACCTATCTCATGATTGGATGCAGTTATTTTTATTCTTAATGACCAGGGAAAAGGTAATGATCTTGACCTGACCTTGACTCTAATATGAAGCGGTCAAAACTAATCTAACTAATCTAACTAATACCATCACTTAGTAATATTGTCTTCTTAATTCTGTAAAAATTTAATTAATTTTAAATACAAGAAATACAGGTTTGTGTGAGAAGAATCCTATACCTTAAATGAAAATACTTAATACATATATAAACTAATAATTAATTGAAACATGCATCTCTGTTCCAGCTGTGTTATTGTGTAAGTAAGCATTTTAGTTTGAACGAACATTTTTTTTCCTGGCAGGATGGCAATCACACACTGATGAATTTCGTAATATTTTTAATTTTACAAAATAAATGCAATATTTCAATCGGACTTTTCAATTGATATATCAGACAATCAACTTAGTATATACATGTACTAATGAATGTAATTTGCCGAAAGTAATTATAGCTATGTTTTCAGATTAATTTTTTTTTTTTGAAAAAGGGGTTATTATAAATTTCAAATACATCAGTTCTAATAATTCATTCTTGTATATGTATTCCACGTTTATATGCTTTTTGGGTAATATTTAACAAACTACTGAAAATTTTGAAATTTCAGATTTCGAAAGAAATCGGTGCGAACTTCTTTTAAATCATCACGATATACTTTTACACCTGATATAAGTGTTCCGTTCGAAACATAATCCAAAATTTCTTGTAAAAATATTGAGAGCATTTTAATCGTTTTATTTTGTGATCGATAATGGAGATTATTGAACTTACATATGAAGATTAGCCTAAAATGAAATGAAATATTGGCACTGGTTTGCGATCTCAGATTGGGGTTAAAGGGAACTCTACACAAAGAAAGCAAGCGCGGAAAGCAGACCAGCTAAAATGGCGGCTGGGAAGAGGTTCTGCCTTTTCCTGGGATTCTTAACAATTACAACCATCCAAGGAAATCCTGCCACCTGCTCGGAGAAGACTGGGAACTACGACAGCGTCCGTCCTGTCCGATGTACTCTACCAGGAGGAGGGACACTGTCAAACACGTTTTCCACGTTCTCCTGGCAGAGACTAGAGATGGTCGAGTATCAAACGGGTGTCCAGGCGAGTCAGTTCTCGGGATTTTCTTCCGCTTCTACCGCCTCCTTTGATTCATCTTATTCACACTCGCTCACCATTATCTGTAAACCTGGGATCACCTCGTTTACTGTTGCTGCCAATTCATTTTCTCAGTTCCCCACCCTCCAGGTGTTGGAGTTTCAGGATTGCCCCATCACGTCCATTCCCGCCAACGCCTTCCCTAATCACTTCTTGGATCATTTAATTTTCACTGGCGCGAAAATCGACTCTATTGATGCTGATGCTTTTATTGGTCTAAACATAAGCAGACTCTCTATTCCTGGAGCAGTTGGTGGTATAACCATCAACAGTGCCCTTACTGCAGGCCTTCCAGAAACAGTATTCGACAACCTGACGTCTATGGAATATCTAGCCGTTAATGGTGCCAATCTGAACACCCTCACTGTCGGCCATGTTGGAAGTCTGGCTAACCTCAAGTATCTGATTCTTAAAGACAACGCTCTCACTAACATTACTACCGGTATCTTTACAAACATGAAGAGCCTGTCCTATGTGGATCTATCGAATAACAAGTTTACCTGCACTTGTAACGATCTGTGGTTCCTACAGTACACAGCTGAGAACCACATCAATCTTCTCGGAGGGCCTCTGTGTGGAACCCCCGCTTCTCATGACAGTAAGTTGTCGGTTATGTCATGAATAAAATTCTCTGTAATACCATCAGATATTTAGGCATTTATCTTTTTTATTGTGATTTCAGCAAAGAGGGCGACGATGTATTATTCAGAAATATGTGCTACAGCAGATGTGTGTGGTAATACTGTCGGTGAGTAATGCTTAGAACTATCGTGTTCTAGATTTGAATTTACCGAAATGAGGGTAAATACAAAATATAGAACAAGATATCATGTCCAGAAAGTGCATAAATTCAAACATCCAGGAGTAATTAAATCCATATACTAATATTTCGTCAAAAAAGATCTTCATCGCTATACGGTGACGTCTCTATATCACTGAAAAATAAGAGCATATATTAAAGCAATGAAGATATTTTCTATACTATAAAGGAATTATTAATCTCTGTAATTTTAGGAGTGGCTATGGGAAGTAGCTGCATGGCACTATACCAACTGATGAGCTTCATTTTGCTCCTAATCATCCTGGTTCTTTCTTGCTTGGCACTTGGCTGTATCTGCAAGACCAGAAAAGAACTAACAAGAGTACAGAGAAGAATGAAGAACAAACGGGCAAGCTCTTGGAACAGGGTACAGGAAGCTATGAAACAACGGAGCGGAGCAAAACAAAAACCACCAGTCGGCAAAAACGGATGGATCTAAAACGCGCCTTATTTTATGAAAAAGATTATCAAAATTTATTTTGTTGATAAAAATTCACATGAATGTTGTCTGTTTATATAATATTTTCATAAAGAAGCCATTGCTTTTTTGAATTTTTATAATAGATACAGTGTACTCATTTTTCTCGTGTTCATTTTGTTGTTTGTTATACAAATACTAAAATGATCATGTATTTCCGGTTTGTTTATATTTTTGATATTAATTGTTGCAACTCATTTCAGTTGTTAAATCGTTTCCATCATATGTTATTGTTTTGTTAGATTTTTTACCGTCAGAGTTAAGTGTGAACGTAGGCAGACCACAGTACATGAATGGTCGAACGTCAATGTTACTTTGAGCCCTCTGATAATGCTGATAGTGGTTAAAGTATGGTTATTGAAAGATGAAAGAATTAGACTTTGAGATCTATGCAATGCAGATAGCTTCCTAGGAGATGATACATGTTTGGGATATGACATAAAATTGATCATTTAATACTATAAATAGTATAATAGACCTCATCAGAGATGACCCCCTGTTTATAATCTGTAATGAACTCTTTTCTTCCAACTCTCAATATATGCAAGTCTACTATTACATCTCTCAGGAAATCTTGTAACATTTCTATGAATTTATAGTCAGACGATATCATATTAAATCTACTCTTTCACTCTCAATAACGACACTTTATCACTTGTGGTCTTCTCAGGAATGAATAAGTCAATCGAAATCAAATGTACAAGTATATGTTTGTATAAGTTCCATTTAATCATTTCACCAGAAATCAACTGTCACAAAAAATATAACAGCTGATACAGCTGAAATTTAGGGAGATGATAATGGGCAGCTCGTGCAATCATTAAATTTCATTAAGTATTTCATTTCCTAAAATGATGTGGCCTTAACATATGGAACGCCATCACTGCCTTATAGCATACAACTATGCATTTATTACGTCAATTTATCATAACGTGATGTGAATGTATCTTTACATTATGTCAATTTTTTTATGAGATGATGAAAAATACCTTAACATCATGCCAATGCTGCATTACGTAAAGTAAATACATCCTTTCATTATGTCAGCACTTCATAACTTGAAGGAAAAAATTAATGTGAAGTGATAATGTGTTTACATTGAGTTAAAAAAAGAATGTTTCTTTACATCATTTCATTTCATATCAAAATTGTTACAAGTAAATTGTGTTTTATAATTAAACTTATCATTACATGAAGTCAAAAATCCATTCCTTTTTGAGAGTGTATATATATCAAAGCATTATTACGTGATATTATCTTTATTTTACGGCGAGAGCATCATGATGTGAGGTAAACACAAATGAGTGCGTTAACGTGGTGTAAAAATGATGACATAATGTAAACATATCGATTATATCAACACTTTATTACATATAATGATGATATATTTTAAATGTCAATATGTAATCTAAAAATAGCTTTATATTGTGTTAAATCTTTATCATGTTGATTCCAAAAGTGCATTTTGTAAAAATACATTTACATTATGTTATATCAGTATATAAGAATGTTTTACAGATTGTTAGGGGGGGGGGGGTACGATAGGAAGTACATAATTCTAGAGAAAAAGTTGTTCAAAATTTTTTTTAATTTCAATGTTTGATCTGAAAAAAAAATTAGGAAAAGACCCCTCCCCGAAATAGGATTTTCGGGCTTGGACAATTTTTTTGGGCTTGTCAAGTTTTTACGGGCAAATTAATATTTTTTTTATGGCTGACCTCCCCTTTCAAAAAAGATGCTTTGTCACTGGAATTAGAAATTTTTTCAACCATGCTACGTGACTGGAGTTAGTAATTTTTTAAAATCATTCCAGGGTCAGAATTCTATTACAAAAATCTACCAGTTCTTCATCTAAATCAATTTATGATAAACTGGGTTTATGGCGGATATGGGTGAACAAGGAAGGGGGACGGTATAGTTTACAAACCGTTAACATTGAACATAGTTAACAACTTTCGTTAACTATAGTTAAAAATAATGTGGAAAGTGGTGTTGTGGAAAAAAAAATTGCTAGTGAAGTGCTAATCTTTTTGCTTGTAGGTTTTTTATGAAGGTATATTAGCCCCCCCCCCCCCCAACACTTTCAATTTGCTTCTGTAATAAAAGCGTTAACAAAAGATTTTGCTAAATTTAATGTGAAATTAATGCAATGTGCTACAAAGTATAAACAATAAATTTATTAATTTTATGTATAAACTATAATTCACAATCGTTAACTTTTTGGTTAAGACTGATAAAAAATTGTTAAGATCAGAAGTTTAAGACTTTTATCAATAATAAAATAAAAATGAAAAAAAATTCTGCATACTATTTGTTTTCAGATTAAAGTAAACGCCATTGAATTTCGCGTGACTTTAAAATTCACAAAAGGATGCACGTTTCAAGGTTGTCAATCATTTGTCGCTTAAAGTTTTTATCAAAGATGATTCCAAAATCAGTTTTCTCTCCCGCCAATTTTAGTTTCACAATACGTTATGCTCATATAAAGGCCGAGGATACAGGTTTATCGTAATAGTGAATCGACATAATGTAGAAACTATAGTTTACAAACCGTAAACTATAATTAACAACGTTAATCTATATTTCACATCTGTAAACCACAGTTAACGCGATAATCTATGTTTCACAACCGTTAACTAAATTTAACAAGGAAAGTTGACACAATGCAATAGTAGTGTGGGTTAATGTCATAAAGAGCTGACATAATATAATGGAAGGTTGACATAATGCAATAGTAGTGTGGGTTAATATCATAAAATACAGTTTGACACACGATTTGTAAACTGTAGTTTACAAACCGTTAACATATCAATAAGTGGCCATAACATATGAAAAGTAGCCCTTACATGTTGTGAAAAAGTTCATTACATATGATTGAGATATTACGTATAATAAATTACATTGACAATAACATATGGTGATATGGGAATTACATTGATAAACAAGGCCATTACATATGGTAAAATAATCATTACATATGATAAAGTAGGTTATTATGTTCCCCAAACGAAGTTGGGGAACATATTGTTTTTACTCTGTTTCTTATTATTATTACGTACTTTTTTGAATCTATCCGACTTGTAAAACCTTTTTAGGGTCAGTAGGCATGTTATGTAGATTTTGAACGAAGGTCATTTTGCGCGCACGTGCTTTACAACACGTGAAATGACCGATTTAATTGATATAGTCGTAACTTTTTAAATTTTTGATGAAATGCTTTGAAACTTATAATATAAGGATATATTAGTAACAATATGACTGGTCAAAATAGCAAGATCTCACGCGCATGCACGTGCGCTTCGCTCTGATTGGCTGAAACAGTCTCAATACTTGTTTTTTGACGAAATCCTTTGAAATATTAAACATAGCCATGCATTAGGATATTACAACATGATATAAAGCAATTATCATGAAAAACTATACATTAACTTAAACGTTAAATAACTATAGCTTTTCAACCAAACAGGATGGGATTTGAACATAGATAGATATAATGGACTTACATGAAGGTATGGTCACCATGCACATGCATAACGTGTAGTTTATTGGCTTTTAAACAGCTATGGTTTTCAACCAAAGGGGGTGGGATTTAGATCATAGACAGACTTAATTGACTTCTACAAGAAGGTATGGTCACCATGCTCATGTATGCACGTGCGTGCACGTGAAATGAGCAAAATCAAAAATACACTTGAATCAGAGTAAAATACTTTTGGATTAAATACTTTAATATCTAGTATATTAAAATTTATAGATTGTGTAGACAAGATGATATGGTCATTATGCACATGCATTCACATGCGCACGCGTGCACTGCTAAAATTTATATTTATCAAATCGTTAACTATTGATAGGGTTTGTCTTATTTAAGAGTTGTAAACGTTACAATAGTTTACATATGATAAAGTAGGTTACTGCATTATTATGATAAAAAACCTGTAGTTTATGGAGATAATACTATAATTTTTGAAAATGCAAATGATTGATTTCAAACATAAAGTGAAGCATTAGTATAGCCTTCTTGTTCAGTTTTGTTTATGTTATAACAGTAAAAGAATACTATGAGTACATTCCTTGCAAAACTTTTTTTTTAAATTTCAATTTGATTAGAAAAAGAGAAAGAGGACCCCTGTTATATGGCACGCCAAATTCACAGATGTTTTAATTTGATAAATAGATGTAAAACGTTGTTAACTATAGTAAACAATTCGTTAACTATAGTTTTCGTGTAAAACTATATTTAACGGTTGTTAACAACCGTATGATAAAACTGTAATAAAACGTTAACAAAAGATTTTTTATAAACGACTGTAAAATATAACTCACAATGTTTAGTTAAGAATTGTTAATCATAGTTTTTGTATATTTATTTAAGAGTTGTAAACCATAGTTTACAAATCGTGAAACTGTATTTATATAATACAAATGATTGTTTTTAAAAATATTTACCACAATATAGGTTCACAGATGTAAAATATAGATTAACGTTGTTAACTATGGTTTGCAGGTAAACTATAGTTTGCGATAAACCTGTTTATACTTGAATTTGGCGTGCCACTGTTATAATACATAAAAAATTACACACTTGTTTTGTTACAACGCAAAAATTTTCAAAGTGCGTTAAATTTGGGACCAACTCAACGCACTTTGAAAAAATAAAATTTCTTTTCAAAGTGCGTTAATATCGACCATATTAACGCACTTTGAAAAAATGTGTATGGCTTCGTCAATATTCTTGCAAATCGTATGATAAATAATTGAATCTCTTTGATAACTCTTCGGTGATGAGATTACTTCAGGTTGTGAAAGTGAGCAATTTTGATTTTTCTATGCTTTGAAAATTCTTTATCTCTTAAATGATTTACTGTAATTATTTTTTTCCAGTTTGCATGCATTTTATGTAAACTAAATTTATTGAAAGTTTTCAACGTCACACCAGTTATGCAAATACATATAAATGTGTGTAACATAGGCATCGATACCAGGAGGGGGGGGGGGGGCTTAGGCACACATACATTTTGCAAAGATTTACCATGGTAAACCCAATATTATAGGCATTGAAAATTGGGCTTACCATGGGGAGGGTGGGGGGTCCACTTTCAATGTACATGTAAATTAAAACGGTTTTCGAAAGATATAATTATTACAAATTGATTCTCTCAATTACTAGATTCTAAGTTTAGAATTTTTTGTTTTATACACATTTTTTTTCAAAGTGCGTAATAAGACCCCGTGGTAAAAAATGTTTATGTACACTCTTCACGCACTTTGAAAAAAAAATTTCAAAGTTCGTTGAGTGTGTCCCAAATTTAACGCATTTTGAAAAAATTTTTCAAAGTGCGTTGATTTTGTCCCAAGTTTAACGCACTTTGAAAAAATTTTTCAAAGTGCGTAATTTTTTCAAAGTGCGTTGCCACACTGCATCTACCATCATGCTTGGCTATAGCAAAAGGAAAAACATGCCTGGCTCAATTTTTGAACTATAACTCAAATTTTGAATTGGCTTCTGTTTACTGTGAAATCACTAATTTTCGTGGGGGTTAATTTTCGTTGTTTTCGAGGTATGGAGATAACCATGAATTTTTTACCACCATGATAATTTATTTAAAATTTCATAAGCATTACTACTAAATAATTTTCCAACCACGAAATCAAATCCCCACAAACTAATTTTTTTCCTCAAAACTTGAAAAATTGACCCTACGAAAAGATGTGATTTTACAGTATTTTGTGCATTTTTAAGCTTAAGATTCGGGTCAGTTTTCGGAAGTATGTAGTACTGAGTGATATAACATAAATCTTAACTTGCTTGTTGTATTATAAGTCTTGCTTGAAACAGATTTGTGTTACAAACACATGTTTATGTATAAAAGCGACATGTAGCAAATATAAATACAAGTATATTTTAAAGTATATTTCATTTAAATTTGAAACAATAAGCAGGACAATTTTGATCTATTCACAGTTTATTTGATAATGATGCATGACCACTGTTAAATTATTTTCATTCTTTGGTGTGTTAATCACTGATCTTGCATTACGAATAAGATAATCTGTAAGTTATTTTTCTTTAAATCTCACGTTTACTATAAGAAAGTAATCAAAGCACGACTGACCTACTCAGTTCATAGAACTATAATTCTCTATAATCTCTTATGAAAAAGCATAATCTTTACACGTCTTGAGAAAGTTCATATGTGCTTGTGTTTTAATAGCTTAGATTAAGTAGGTTATGGATTAGGTTTGGTCCTGCATGGGTCATGCGTTTAATTAACAATGTGAAGGACAATTTTCATACCAAGTAGGAAACAACCAGCGCAAATAAAACATGTCCGTCAAAATGGCGGACAAACTTCTGATAGCTGTTTGTATAGCGTTATTCCCTTGGGTGAAGGCAAACCCCACAGGTTGTGTGGAGAAGCCTGGAAACTTGGATTCGACCATACCGACTCAGTGTACCTATGGATCATTCACAACGCCTTTGTCTCATTCTTCCTTCACCACCCTGTCCTGGCAGAGACTGGAGTTTGTGGAATATCAAAGCTCATTCCAATCCAGTCAGTTTTCAGGGTTTTCTAGTGCTTCAACTTCCGGATTTAGCTCTCACTTTCCTCATACAATTACAATCAAATGCAAATCAGGAATTTCTACTTTCTCCTTCGGTGCCAATGCGTTTTCGCAGTTTCCAAACGCACAAGAAGTAGCCATTATAAACTGTCCCATCACGTCCTTTCCAGCCTCCGTCTTTAATGGACTGACCTTGAGCAAGCTGACGATTCAGGGCGGGAAAATAACATCAATAAACGCGGACACATTCACGGGACTGACAATCTCTAAAATGAACATCACGGCAGAGGAGAGTGGGATCATCATAAGGGATTGTCCAATCACGGGAACCCTACCAGACGGACTATTTGCGTCGCTACCATCACTGGAGTACCTCATCTTGGAGAGAACAAGTCTAAGTTATATTGCACCAACCACTTTCACCAACTTGACTAGTCTCCACTATCTCAGCCTGGCTAATAACGCCTTGACGAATATTACTTCGGGAATCTTCGATGAGCTACGAGCTCTCACTGAAGTTAATATGGAGGGGAACAATTGGGCATGTTCTTGTGACAATCTGTGGTTTCTAGATTACAGTATTAATCAGAACCTCAGACTTAGTGGTGGCCCATTGTGCGATACGCCTACAGAATACAATTGTAAGAAACTTTTATACTTCTGTGAACTTAATTTCTGTTCAAATAATTGATAAGAATATTGATATTCTGTAGTTTTATCGTTCCTTTGCAGTTTTCTAATTATATTTCATGATTTTAGATAAAAAGGCCACAAAATACTGGAAAGAAGTCTGTCCAACACTTAATGCCTGTGGACACAATTTAGGTAAGGTCTCAAGGGTAACAATGATGCTGTTAAAAGCCTATTTTTTTCAAAATCAAATCTTAGGTCTGTATAAACTAAGCGTCCTCCTAATTTCATTTTTCAATAAAAATGTGTCACTAAGAAGGGATGCTCACTCTTCCATGGCACCTGATCTCACCTCTAATGTTTTGGATGTCTGCGTTTTGTCTGCTCCTATTTTGTATTGTTTATTGGACTTTTAAGCTTGAATACTGTTCGTTATCTCCATATATCAAATTCAATAGGTTATTTATATTTTATTAAGGTGTGGTTATGGGTCCAGCTACATGCGTCCTGATGCATGACGTGATCAGCTATGGAATTGTTGTCATCACCGTCATCATGTCTACCATCGCCCTGATCATTATCTGCAAGGTTCGCAAGGACTTAAAGGATGTCCAGAACAGGCTAAAAAACAAGAGGGCGACTTCATGGGGACGCGTGCAGGAGATGATGAAAAAGAAGGAAGCCGGTGGGGTAGGGGCTTCACAGAAACCGCCATTCCCCACGAAAGCAGGATGGGAATAAGATTAATAAGGGTTTTAACGGGCTCTAACAGGAAACATCATCCACATTTTAAAGATCTTGCCTTTGTTATAGTTATCCGTTGTTAAAAAATGTTTACAAGCTCTAAACGTTGACATTGTTATTTTTTTTTATTATATAGCATCACGTAGGCGTGTCATTATGTGAGAAAGTAAGTTGCGTTAATTGGAATGTATTTAGTTTTTGCACATATATATGGTATGATGTTGTGATCTTGCTAATTTCAAGAGAAACTTTTACATGTATGATACTGTATAAATTATTAATTTATTTTGTTACATTACTTTTTTTATCGTTATTAAACAAGGTCACTTATAGGACCGTGCATTGTGCTCAATAAAATCATTGATAATAATGTTTTATTGTTGATCTCTTAAATATACTAGTATATAAATCTCCGGGGTTTTTTTCTTGTCGGGGGATTAGAGTGGGTGTTTCTATACCTTTTCCATACTAGTTTGTTCAAAGACATTGGGGACGCTCTGAAATCTTTTTTTATCATTAAATATCAATCAAAAAGCAATTTTTAAGTACATTTTGATATTTTTTATCTTCACTATGAAAGCCAAGATAGAATTATTTGACAGTGTTATCTTCCTGAAACTTGTCTTACAGTTAAACTTATCAAATTGTCTCACTAAAGCTTTTTTTAGTTCCTAGAAATCTTCTTCAATATCTATTGTTTTATTCATTTTGAAACTATTTCAGATCTGCAAAAATAAAATTTTCCAATGTGTTCAAAAACCAATTAATACGCAGACGCAAAACCAAAAAATGAAGAAAAGAAAGTATGGCCCAACCAAAACCTTACCGGGTCAATTGAAATACTTATGTTTGCAATATAAGATTATCCGTATTTCATAATGAGGCATTAGTTTCCAATTATAGCTTAAATTGTTAAGTGTGGATCGTATTGAGGCTTATGAGTTAAAATGTGTGCCAGGCCACTGGGTCGCTGTTTGCTTTGTTTCCTTGCTTTCATGGAGATTTAGACTGCAAAGAACGTGGAAGACCTCACATCTTAAATGTCCTCTCTGGCCGCAAACCAGTAATCCACTTAAAATTCAAAGGGATTTAGAACCTGTTCCATTGTCAGAAAAACTGAGTCCAAACAATAACAATTTCTTTTTTCTCAAGAATTTTTAAACTGTCTTTGTTTTTAAAAAGCTTGTTGTGCTGAAGTGGACACATCGTCAATCTTTGTATATATTCAAACATTTTAAAATTTCTAACTTCTAAAATTTCATTTATAAAATAAAAGTGTTAAAACTTCGTTGTAAAGTGTTATATCGTCTTAGTTTGTTACTTCTTTTAGATTGTAATCAAGACAGATAGACTAAACATCTATCAATTGTGCTTCATTCAATTTTCAGAGGAAGCCGTGTTTGTACTTTGTACTTTGGTTCAATTTGAAAATTTTCAATTTAAAATAATAAAATAATCAGGCTGCAATAGATATTAATTATACAACTGTACTGTGCCAACAATTTCTGTAATCGTTGGAATAAACAGGTTAAACGTCTTTCTTATTTTTCAATCTTCTTAGTCTTTATCCATGAAAATCGTGTTCCATATTTAAGAATTTAAATCAATAAGAATTATAAACTTTTGAATGTGATCTACCTCTGCAGTGTTTAATGATTTTACGGATCATTGGATACAAGAACATTTCAAGTTAATATTGAAAGACCTTTCTGGGCAAATCCACGGCCATTTTCTTTCCACTGGATTTCGGAGATAAAAATATCTCCAATGTAATTTCTGAAAGACAGAGGGAAAAATCTGGACAATATGTCTCTAATTTCAGTCCTCGTGGTTTTAGCTGTGTGTTCGAGGGTGTATGGTAATCCACAGGGATGTAGTTATGATTCCACACAGCTCCTACACACATGTAACGCCAGAGCTTGGTCCCTCCCGTTGGCCTTCGGAACATTCTCGCCTCAGCCCCAGAGGATTTTGTTGAGGGAGGTTGATGGTGAACTTCCAAACGGTACCCCGACCGGACCTACGTTTTCGGGATTCTCTGCCATCAATACTGCGAGTTTTGATTCCAATTATGCCCCAGAACTCATCATTAGATGTACTTCTAACGGTCAACTCATCATCACCCAAGCTGCCTTCTCGGACATGGGATGGGTAGAGGAGCTGACCATTGAAGATTGTGATATTTTATCACTTCCTGTTCAGGTCTTCTCACATTTCGGGAATTTGAACCGGTTTGCTATTATTGGAGGATCAATCGACGCCATGATTGGAGACAGCTTTACCGGAATGAATGTTGAAAAGATGTCCACGGTACCGGACCCCCGGGGAGAATTTGTCATCAAAAACAGTCGCCTAGTGTCAGGAGGATTCGCTTTTGGTGCCCTTTTTTCACAAGCAAATGTAACGAGTGTTATCATCGAAAATGCCAATCTTAAATCCATTCAAACAGATATGTTTTACGCTCTCCAGAAGATGACATATCTTTCTTTGAGCAACAATCCCTTCACATATCTCCCAACCGACTTGTTCAAAGGTATCAACTCTCTAACGACCGTTGAACTATATGGCATCTCCTGGGCGTGTACATGCACCAACATCTGGCCCCCAGCCTGGCTAGAAAGTAACAACATAACCATGAACGGGGACGCCGTGTGCGGATCTCCTACGGCATACGAAAGTAAGATTTCTGATCAATGCCTTTTTTAATTTGGGTTACCTCCATCAATCAAAAACATGGCATAAGATGTGCTACGTTCTTTATTTTATTCTGTATTTTTTATTACAGATGTGAAAATGTCCTTATATGATAAGGAACAGTGTCCACAACCAGATGCATGCCAGAAAGCTGGTCAAACAGGTATGGTTTCCCAGAACATATCAAGCATATGAATAAACAATCTTTCAAATCAAGGAAAATGTTTGGTAATCAATTTCTACGCACTTTTCATTTATTAACTTAAATTAAGGTAATTAATTTAATTGTTTTGAAGAGACTCAAAAATTGTGATATTTCACTAATGTTTCGACACGAGTTTACCACTTTTGAATCTATTTTCCAGGATTTGTTGTGGGTAGCATATGTATGACGATCTTGGACGTCGTGAATTACGCTCTGCTGTTCGCCACATTCGTCCTGTCCCTTGTGGCGTTGGGTTTGGTCATCCATACCAAACGACAAGTAGGTAGTGCCAAGGACTCTAAACAGAAAGGCAAACCTAACGCCAAAGGTTCAGGGCTCAGACGCTCCAGTGCCAGCTGGAATAAGGTCGACGATGCTCAGAATGTGCCCACCTAGATCAAAGAATATTTTCATAATTTGACTTTAAGTTTTTATCTTTCCCATTTCATGAATGGTTTGGATGACTGTTTGGCGTCTTTGGCTTGCAGTAGACCATTTCTCTTCCATTATAAATGATTTTTTTATGGAGACTGAATTGTTGTGATTAACACACAGAGGTTTTTGTAAATAGCTGCACTAGTATTTAACTTGGTTGATAATTTAAAGAAAAGTGAAATTATTCCTTTTGTGCCAAACAACGTGAATGAGCATTATTTTTTTTTTTACTTTTGGTGTTGTTTACAAGTAAAATTTCTATATATTATACAGTCTGTGATATTTTCTTATCATGCATCATTAAACTGAATAAAATATCTGTGTTTCAATATTTTCCCTTGAGTCAGTAAGGGACTCTATACTCATTTCAGATGTCTTTTTCGTCTATTGAAAGATATTAGTTCAACAATTCTGTATATGTTCCCATTCGACATAAGTCCTATCTAAGACAGGTCTTACCTACTACTATTTTTTGGTAGGTGGAACTTCTACTTCTTGAAACCAACCTAGCGATGCAGGAGCCTATGTTTCATCTTCTAGGAGGCTGACATATCACGTGAACATTGATTTATTCTACGCCACGCCCCCATCAGTGTACTAGGATTAAATTCATACACTGTCTCCTCGTGCCATTAAATAAATTGCAATTAGTGTACATCATTCAATTTGCAATTCTAGACTTGTGTCAATTGACAACTATTAATTAATGTATATGTATAACCGTGTTCAACATATAGTAATGATGCTGCGGATTATTAAATGATGTCAACTAAAAATCTTACATGAAAACCTTGAGTTATCTGCCTAAATAAATGAATTTCAAACAAAAGTAGTATATGTACATCGAGTGTCCAAATTTAAATGAACTAAAACAATAGTCTTCAAACACGTCTCACAAGTATATGAAAGCTGTTAATATATTTTAAATACTAGTAGTCAGAATTCAAAAGACTGAAACTCACTTTTTTCGATATATTACGATTTTTGCGTTTAAAATATTTTAAAAGCCCCCCCCCCCCCCCCCACGAGGTTAATATTAATTTGGGTCTGTCTGTCTTTCTGTAATACTTTCGTTTCCACACGATATCTCGAAAAGACTTTAAACTTTTGCAATGCAGTTTTACATGCCAACTTCCTTTGGCCTAAGGAAGATCCTTATTTGATTTTTAAGGTCAGAAGCTTTAAGGTCAAGGTAAAAAATTCATAAATTCTGTCTGTTTTAACACTTTCGTTTCCGGGTGATATCTTGAAAAGCCTTCAAACTTTTGCAATAAAACTTTTTACCACAACCTCCTATATGACTTAAAGAAGATTCCTTATGATTTTAAGATTAACAGGTAAAGTCAAATTTCATTTCCGAACTATTTGTATCAAGAAGATTTAAAGCTTGTGCAATGATTATACGTAACTTCCTATGGCCCCGTCCACCCCCTTTAACGAGTCCTGTCCCGACCCCTGTAGATCCGCACATGCTCTTCTTTTTCCTTAAGCGGGGAACACAGATTCTCTGAATTAGCTTGTTTCTCTGTCTGTTTGTCAATAAACAATTTTTCAAAATGTTACTCCTCTTACAGTTTTGGTTTGATTTCAATATAACTTAACACACTGAGAAGAGTTGCTATGGTTACTAAAAATAATTTCTGTGAAATACATTCAAATTGCTACTCTTCCCACAATTTTCATCTGATTTCAATAAAACT